GAGACCCAGGGGAAGAAGAGCAAGGTCGAAGAGTACACAGGTGTGAGCATCGCTGTATCCTTCAACAGCAAGCACGACGAGCAGCAAAAGATCGGTCAGCTCTCTGGAGGCCAAAAGTCGCTCTGCGCGCTCGCCCTCATCTTTGCTATCCAAAAGTGCGATCCCGCGCCCTTCTACCTCTTTGACGAAATCGATGCCAATCTCGACGCGCAGTATCGAACTGCTGTTGCGCAGATGCTGGAGCGATTGAGTGGTCATGGTGGAAAGAACGCGGATGGAGGTGGTCAGTTCATCTGCACCACTTTCAGGCCTGAGATGGTACACGTGGCGGATCGATGCTATGGTGTTACCTACACGAACAAGACGAGTAGCATCGATGTTGTTGATAGAGAAGCGGCGCTTGAGTTTGTCGAAGGTATGCAGAAGGCTTAATATGGGTATCAGCACAAGCATTATGCAAGTCGATGAAGGAAGTGTACTATGGAACTGTATGAGTCTTTTACGCAAGAGGAGGGTGCGCTTGTTTTGTGTCAATTCACGATTTTCATGTGTGCGATTATGGCGACTGGACTGGGAACGTGTTCGTAGGACTAGTCAGCTATGATTCTTCTGTCTTTATTTCCTGAAGTCCGTAACTCTACTCCAATCTGTGTTTTGTGCAGTGTAATGTACCGCGAGTTTGCCAGTCTGGTTGAAAAGGCGCTTTTACTACATCTTGACCTTGGACAAAGCAGCAAGAAGAAAGCTTGATTCTCAACCTTTTGGGTATTGGTAGAGAGCTATAGTAGATTTGAACGACTCCTTGATGATACCCACTTGCTCTCATATACTCATTTCAACGATTGATACGAGGGCTGGGGCAGCTTCTCTGGTAGCAGCAACGTGATCGACTTGTCAAAATGGGGCGTACGGCACCTGCCCACTGGATGCACAATGGAAACAAAACATCATCATGGATGTAAGCTGCTGTCTACAAGCCTCTATAGTAGCCTGTGAAGTTCGCCTGACAACCAACGCGCAGCCTTGGCACTGGAGTTTGAGTCAAGAAAAGCGAATCCGACTGGAAGTCTGCTCAAATCAATTTCCCCCGATTTTGTTCTCCTCCTGACCATAATCCGAGGCGAAGGTGAGCCAACTGCCGCACGCTCGAACAAATTACAGCCAAATAGCGACGTGCTCGCTCTTCCTTCCGTGTCTCTACACACGGCGACGGTACCCGATCTATTGATTATCAAAGCCGCATCGTCTCTTCTAGACCCTGCCTCCTGCCTCGCATATTGCAAATCATGCCATATACTGGCATTGATCGGTGTCGCGAATAAGCAAGTTCGAGCAAAGTGTGGGTTTCGTGCTGGAAGAGTTCGTCTCGAGATCGGGTTCTTCGCTGTACATCGTTGCATGTACACAGCTGAGGGGCTTGGCCCATGCGCTTCGAAAAGAGGAATTCGTGTCGAGAATCGGGGTTTACTAAGGGGATCGCGAGAGGGGTATCCACGAGCTAGCCGTGTTTAGCGCTGACGGGTTTATTCCGGCAGTTCGGGTAGCGGCTTGGTGCTTTTGTCCGACGACAACACATCTCTCGCATCGTGATCACTGGTACTTGTGGCTGAATAGCTGCATCTAGGTATTGGTTAACGCTGACTCTTGCCACTGTTCGCGCGTCCGGTCACGCTCATAGACGTGGTTTCGACGTATCGTCTCTAGTGCAAGTGTGCTAACGCCCGACATGGACCTTTGCGTCCAACCTTCGAAGTAAGCGATAGCTTGATTGCGCTGGCTAGGTTCAGGGGAATGCAGTGCAACTAGCAGCAGAGGCGTGGCCATGCGCATGTATGCGCACCCAACTGTATGAGTCTGCAAGTACTGCGAGGCCAGCAGTATAGATGTGTAATCATCGGATAGGGTCGGAAAGCCATCTGGAAGTCGTGGCGTAATGAGGCTGAGAAGGATGCGAGCAACGCTGAAGTATGCCACGACGAGAGCAGTGAAGGCGTCGCGAAAGTGCCGAGTTTCGGTCGAAGTGTCCTCCCAGAACAGCAACTTATCCGTATCCACTGCATCGTTCATATAGTCAAGCCAAAGCGCCTCAATATTGCTCCCAAGCACGGTGTAAGCATCGAGGCCAAATTCTGGTCGCGATGCGCCGGTCTTCCGCGCGACATAGACGTCCACCAGGTCGGATACATAGCCCATAAGCGTCTGAAACCGAGGTAACTCAACGTATTTCAATGGCCCGTACAAAATGCCTTGTATTTGGAAAGGTATCCTTTTGCTATTTCCGGTCAGATTGATGAATGTCAATTGAGTCCGGAGATGATCTGCAAAAGAAGTACAGTGTTAGCGCGCGTTACGTGTTTCTCCCGTACGAAAGAGACTGCCCTCTTGAGTTTCAGACAGGGTGTGGGATACAGTCTGAAAGGGTACATCATCTTCTCCTCCACGAACAATACAATGACGACCACAGCAAATACAGCTAGGCTTTATCGCATGAGGAAACTTACAGAAGATCTGACACAACGCCCCTTGTGAGCATTGTTTTGGTGTAGTCAATTCAAGCATCCGAACAGCTCCGAAAACGTGAGAACAATAGGCTGCGGCGTTGGTAGATTGCATAGCTTCAAATAAACTGAACAGAACGCTCGTAGACACCATATGTACCGTGACTTCTTGCTTGGTATGTGGACGGGAGACAAATCGACTGTGCGCCCGTAGAGCTTCTCCGTACATCTTCCACGAGTATTGTGTAAGTGCCATATTCCCGCTTTCGACAGCGCAGTAGGCAGATGCCGTAGCCTGTGCAGCCAGTGTCAGTGCGTCATTCGTGCCATCTGTTATCAGAACAGGCAGGCTGTGCAGCCAGGTACGTTGATTCCGAATGTCTTTGCTCTCGCCCTCGGACGTGAAGTGAGCCATAAAGTGAGCATAAAATGCTTCGGTTACCACTGCTCTTTGCGAAATCTGATACGACAACACTTGGTCAGCCAGCGTAGACGTTTCCGCGCTCTTGCTTGTTAGTCTTGACTTGCGCTTTCTCATTCCGTGTTTAGCGATGTTCGTCATGTCTACGAAGATGGGACCATCCGATAGTCCGGGGCAGTCGTGACCGGTGCGAATGCACATGAGACATTTGGGAACTGTCGCATCGCATTTGATGCGTTTCTTGCGGCAGGTTTCACATGCGTTGGTTCTTGCAGGCATTCAGAACACTAAGAGAAGTTTCAACTGAAAAGAGGATAAATAATGTATGTACTGACGACGCTGCCTGAAGTTTCCACAGGGGGATGCGATATCGGGAAGTTCCATAACATGCTAACGGAAAACAGCAAGCTAGCAGAAGCTTCCAGGCTCAGAATAGCGCGACCCACATTCCACAATTCCCCAGGACCCTTGGGCCGAACCCGATGTCCCTTGTCAGCGCCAGCAGTCAAATTATGTCAGACAATTGTTTTCAGAGTAAACTTGTGAGTAAAATGCTGCAGTGTGTGCGGATCAGATGCATCTCCCAAACTCGTGAAGACGGAGTTGCCTCGGGACGAAACACGTGCTGCTCTGTACGACTATGGGCTGGCGGGTTTAGCATGTTCGCGGAAACACAACCGTACACATCCGTTACTTTGCATCCACGTAGAAGATCAATCCGCTCGTTTTACGATAAGTGACGCCTGGGAGCTAACCAAAAGATATGAGGAGCCATCGCTGGAGACACAGCATCAACCAAAAGTATGTGAGTATCCGCTATTTACATTGCTGCCTCAATGTGTGCAAGTGGTTTATCTGAACACTCAACAGCATAGAAGCGAGGTAGGAGCCCCTCCCCTGCTAGGAATGACGTTCGCGACCTGCATCGCGCGTACGGCTCAACGGCGTGTTGGCTTCCTAGGTGTGTTCAAATAGCACGACGACCCAAAGGCGTTCGCCATTCTCCTCTAGCCTCGTGTATGCTATAGATTTTCTTACTTCTTGTTCTTTCCGTGCTGCAAGGACTTGGCAGCTGGGGATGCCATGCGGTCTGGCAGGCAACTTCCGCGGGGAGTCGCCGCCCTGCCTTCGATCCCGATCCCGACGAGGCGAAACCTGTTCAAGATTTGCCGCAGGCCTGTAGGTATCATGGGCCACTGCTAAACGCATCCGACTATATCCACTCAACTTGAAGCCACAACACAACACTTTTTTCGGACAGTGGACTAACATAGAGGGCCATGATTGGTGGGTGAACAACCGCCTATCAACCCTCTGAAGGGCGCGTTCCTCCCCAGCACCACCACTATCACGACCATCAGACAACTATTCGTTACAATTCGCATATGCGTGCCTTCCTATCGCCTTGATTTGTGACATCAAGCCACACAACCCCGTACCTCTTCCTTTACCGTGGGTCACCACCCTCCTTCGCGCCTCAGGCCGTCCTGGCAGACCCCGTTTTCCCCTCACTCCTCCCAGAACGACCAGGCCTACGGAAACCTTGCCCGTAACCCAACACGTGACTCAATTCGCTTCCCTGGAAGCAAATTCATGCGCGAGCTGCATCTGTACTGGCAGTGCGATCCTGTACTGATTTCCAATCACCGTCGATCTGTGCTATGCAGCGAGTTCCGCTTGGGCAGTCCAGTGATGGACAGGGTAGGAAGATCGCGATCTCAAAGGCGCCGCCGCCGCCCCATCAGGGTAACGAGAATCCAGAGAGATACGAGAAAGAGGAAAGAGTGTCAGTGACTCTAGCCCTACACTAACACATTACGAACTAACCCGCTTCTTTAATTAGTGCAAGGGCATGCAAAACGTGCCGCAAACGAAGTAAACAGCCGCATTCCTCCGCTCGTAGTTGTTCATGCTGATATTCCCGCTCCAGAAGTCAGGTGTTCCGGTGATCATCCGCGTTGCGCCAACTGTGAACGCAACAACTTAGTTTGCGTGTACGATCCAGCACGCCGAGATCGTCTTGGAGAGTATGCTCAGATAAACCCCCCGATATTCGACTTATAGACTGACTTTATAGGGCTATGAGGTTAAACAAGAACCTCATCAACCTTCTCAAAGAACTCGAGGACCGCGTCGATGAGTCAGATAAGAAGGCCATCAAACAGACGTTACACGATGTATGTATTCCGCCGATGATTTCTTTTCCTGAGACTGTTACAAGATCATTGCTAACCTTGCCTGTCTTGCAGGTAGAAGATGATCTCGTTTCCCTGGATTCTCTGCAATCTGTCAGGACTCTGGGGAAAAGGCCACGCGAGCAACCTACGACGAGAACAGAGACAGGGGACGGCGATGAAGGCAATCACGGAGAGGCTCTTGTAACTGCATCGGTCGGATCCAACGAGGACCTCGACTTCCTTGACGAAGATTTGATGCGCACCCGCGAGTCGAGAGAGACCGGCTACATGGGCCAAAACTCAGAGGTCCAATGGTTACGAAGCGTTCAGCGTCAAGCAGAGCGTGGCAACTCAGATCCTCATGGGCAGCGATACGGCCCTCCTGGCGCAAGCTCGGCGGCTATTGACGAACGATCCGAAGCTTTGCATGAACGAAGACAGAACGCTAGACCAGGCTCAATGCAACACATCACGGATGCGACTTTTTACCTGGATGGCGACGACATTGAGGTCGACATCGCTGTAGACCCGGACGAGATGCCTGGCCCGGATATTGCTGAGAAGCTCTTTGATTGCTACATGGGAACTGTACACGGTACATTCCCACTCATGCCTACTAACTTCGAGGACCAATTCCGGCGCTACATTCAATCTCTCAGATTCGGACGTCCGTACTCAATCCCTCCCCCTTGGCGTGCCACCATGAATCTGCTTTTCGCCATCGGCGCTAAGTACTCTCATCTCATTAGTGCCGAGTGGCGAGGCGATGAGAGAGACCACCTTGTATATATGACACGAGCTGTTCAACTCTTGGGACTAAGAGATACCATATCGTTCCTCGCAGCACCCAGTCTGGGCAGGATCCAAGCAGTAAGTGACTATCTCCACTCATTTGTCCTGAATATACCTAACACTTTGAACACTAGACGGGAACGTTAGCATTTTACTTCCTTGTCATTGGGCACGTGAGTAGAGCATGGATCATGAGCGGGCTCTCCGTCAGACTTGCCTTGGCACTTGGTCTACACTTGCGCAACGAGGACGATTCGATGAATGACTCTAAGAGAGAGCCGTTAGTGAAGACTTGGTGGTGTTTGCACTCAATCGAGTGCCTCGTTTCATCCATCACTGGTCGGCCTCCGGTCATCGGAAACGAGGATTGCACTGTAACATTGCCACAGTCCGAACCCGAATCTCCAGATCGAGACGCAACTGCAGCACCACAGCCGTCTCGCATTAGAACAAGCTACAATACACCTCGGACTCCTACAAGCAGTGCTGCCTCTGACTCTGGCCAACGGCATACAGATGGAAGCCACTATCTGCATACGTATGTCACATTGACTATCATCTCTCAGAAGGTTCTTTTCAGCCTCTACTCACCCCGGACTGCAGTCCAATCCTGGGAGGTATGTGTTCCATCTTTTTACTTCGATCTTTTAGTTGCCGGAAAACGATTCTTTAATTTGTACGTGACATTCTACTGACTGTCATATCTACAGTACGTACAGACGAAGATCACGGAGCTGCTCAAAGAATTGGAGGACTGGGTCAAGGAGGCCTTGCCACCTGAGGATATCCGCCCAAGTGACTGGAACCGACGACCTGAACTTAATCGCGAACGCTTTCTGCTCCGAATTTACTACTGGAGTACAAAGGTCCTTATTACCCGACCTTGTCTCTGTCGGATCGAGCGAAGGATATCAACGGAGAGTGAGAAGTCCATGAACTTCAACAGTAAGTCGGCGGAGACATGTGTCGACGCAGCTCGAAGTATGACGATGCTGTTCCCCGAGAAGCCTGACACGCATTTCATCTACTCACAAGGACCGTGGTGGGACGTGGTTCATCTTGGTACGACTATCATGGCACAAAAAGATTCTGACAAGTACTGACGTTCTTTACAACAGTCATGCAATCACTAGCCGTGCTGCTACTGGAAATGGCCTACGAAGGGAAGCACCTGAAGGATGAGAGAGAGGACATCATGGGCTGTATCAAGAAGATGATACGCTGGCTTCGAGCCATGAAAGCCAACGACCCAGTCGCTGCTCGGGCTCATGATGTCGTTTACAAGATTCTCAACACATGCGCGCCGGCACTTCGGGAGCAAGTCAAGGAGCTAATTGCCGACGATACCGAGTGGACGTCTCAACCCGCACAGCCTGCACGCTCCGCCCGCCCTTCTACGTTCACGTCGCAGTCAACCTCATGGGATGCAACAGGTGCTGCTGGCTACTCACAAGAATTGCCACCAAATTTCCCACCACCGTTGTCCGAGGCCCACTTCATGGATCCGCTACTTTCATACCCTATGCCGGCTCAACAACCAACATCTTTCGCTTTTGGAAACCCCTTCATGACAAGCTTTGATCAAGGCGTCCCTCTTATCGATATGCAGCAACTGTGGTGGCAGTCGGCGCCCTTGAGCAACCTGGGCCTGTATCCCTCTGAGATGAATATGTCACAGCAGCAACTCATGCAACAGCAAATGCAGCAGCAGATGCATCAACAGATGCAAATGAGCGATCTCACGGAGCAGCAGGATGAACAAGGGTCTTCCGGGCAGCCGTCTGGCTAACAGTGAGGGGAGAGGGGGACGGATTGGTGGCGTAATGGCAGGTTCAAACAGCTTTACCACGAATATAGATATCTGAACACGCGTCAACGAATTCACGAAATATACACCAACGTGGGTAGCATATATAGAAACCCCATCCCTCCCTCGCAGCCAGCTCACCGTGTGGTCCCAACGTTTTGATGCATGCCTAATTAAGACAAAAGCTTTCGCGACGAACTCCCAATTTCAATCCACAACACTCTCCATAGACGGTCTTCCAAAACTCGACACGGACTAAGTTCGCAACTTTAGATCAGCGGGTTTCGTTAACTCCTCAGCGAGCCGCAACATCACTTACCTCATTAGGCGACATAGTCTTGTAGAAGACAAAGCCTCTGTAAGCGGGATCGTAGTTCTCCTTGAATATCTTCTTTGAGTATTTTACATGCCACAAGCCAACAACATCCTTACCTTTCCAGCAGAGGGCCCAGACGACAAGAAGCGAGCTAGCGTTTGATACATGGCTATAGCGCCGTCCCATATCCACGCCATGCTTACTATGGCGATATAACGTGTGGAGAAATGGTTGTCGGTAGTCTCGGGCACGGGTGAAGTGCGAGAGTGGTGATGGATGATGACCGCAACGACTCGGGTGCCATAGTCTGTAGATTAAGGGAGGCTACGCAAATATACGTTTATTGAGAATGCAGGGCTTAGGTAAGATTGAAGTCAAGATGAGGTTTTGGCGATGCGTCTCGTATTGCGGAACAGAGTCCCGTGACCAATCATAGTGGCGGAGATGCGCCTAATGTGGGGCGGGGGTGGTGAGATGGAATCCTTGCAGGCAGTCTTATGCGTTGTTTCGTTGCTCGCACATATGAAGATGGTCACACCATGTGAGATATTGTAAAAGACAATGGCGTTGGTGTGAAGATGGCCACAAAGTTCTCGTTATTTCCAATTTAACAACCAAGATAATCGTAACAGTCTTATGCAAAGTCCATCGTTACTTCGTCAGAAAAACTCAACCACTAGACGGCTGCCTCTTCTTCAAGACGTTCCTCCGCTGTTTCCGATCCGCCTCCAGTAATCTTTCCCGATCGTTTTTATCCTTGTGAGACCCACTCCCCTCGCCGAATCCTTCTCCTTGTGTGATGGTGACTCCGCTGACGGCTTTGCCCGCCCCAAGAGTGATACCATTGGCTCCGAATTTGCCCGCCATACTCTTCGTGCTCTGCTGGCTGTCGAAACTGGACCTCCTGGCGGGCGTGTGGTTAGCGGGTGTGGTAGTTTGAGACGGATCTGTACCAGCGACTTCGTCAGAGGACCACCATCCTTCGGGCCGAGACGTCGAGGTTTTTTCCGTCATTTGAGAGTCGCCAACTGACGCACCTGGTGAGCTGAAGGATATGGTTGACATCCTGTTTGTTGACGGGGGTGGCGAGGATATGGTTGATATCCTGTGCGAGGGTGGTGGTGACATGATTCTGTTGCGGGAAGGCGAGGGCTTCTCTTCGGTTTGGGTCCTTCGGTGAGTGGGAGGTCGTGGCGTTTGAGACGCTTGGAAGGGACTGGCTAGTGACAATGGCCTTTCTGCTATTGTCGTGCCATCGATGGAGCTCGGCGCACGCGAGTGTTGAGAAACTTTTCTTGTCCGTAGCGCTACCGGAGCTGTCGCACTCTCATCTCCCGCATCGTCGTCGTCTTCGTCGCCGTCTAACCCGGGTAGTTTGCTGGACTCTGGTAGGAGACCTTGGTACCGGCCCGGCGATCGTAAGCGTCGTTGCTTCTGACTCTCTAGAGCTGCTGCTTCTGAGCCTGCGAATTTGTCCAACGCTTCAAAGACGTGCGGGAAGACGAGTGTGTGAACCGATTCCGCCCACAGGAAGTCGAGGTGCTCGTAGTGGGGGATCTCTTTGGCGATAGTATGGGCTGGTAGCTCCTTGAGCATGACCTTGATATCGACTAGACTGTCTGAACCGCCGTAAACAAGCACGATGGGCGTCTTGATGTTCTTGGTTGGGAACTTGGCAACCTTGTAGTACTTAGATCGATTGGATGTGATTGGATTTGGCGCTTCATCGTCGTACATTTGGAACGTGCCATTCCGAATGATCTGGAACCAGTGTACCACACTCTTAGTCGAGGTGTATGAGTAGAGATGTGGGTATGCTGCGAGCTTTTGCTCGGGTAAGATGTTGACGGCGGACCAGTTGAAAAGGAAGCGCAGGGATGTATCGATGAACCGGACAAAAATAGGAGGATATAGGATGGATTGCCACATGGTTGCCGATGGGAGAATGGTCTTCCGACCAAACGCCAAGTAGAGTATATCCGGAGATGCTTTGACAAAGGCGTCGACAATGCCAGACGCAACGCCCTTGGGGGACATGGCTGGGGCTAGCGCAATGAAGACATCCACCTTCTCGTTCAGTGTAGGATGGATAGACAAGGTCGCGAAAGCCTGCGCGGTTCCTTGCGAGAAGCCAATGTACGACAGAGAGGGCTGGTGCGTAGTCTCGAGGATGTAGGCGATAGAATCTGGGATGTCGTGGAAGGCGAACTGGTCCATGCTGAAGTTCCAGAAGCTGCTCGAGGTGGGAGGCGTGTGGACGCTCTTCTTGGAGTACTTGTTTCCACGGTTGTTGCCGAGCCAGACGTCGTATCCGCGCTCGACCAGCTCAAATGGCAAGCATCGCTCCTTGTCCGTCAAGCAGACCCAGACCTCGCTGTTCATCATGAGACCGTGGTGCAGGTAGACGACCTTCTTCTTGACGCCCTTGGCCCTATCTCCGCTGTTGACGCGCACATTTTCCTCGCCCTGGCGCCAGCCCAGCCGGTGCAGACCCAGGAGATAGCCATCGCCCGTCTGCACAATGTGTTCCTCGCAGTAGTAGCCGTAGAGGTCGCATAGCTCGGTAAAGTCGGACGCATTGGCGATGGAGCTCCACACGCCCTTCTTCTTCTGGCGCGAGCGCTTGGACGAGGGCGACGAGAGGTGGTTGAACAGGCGGCGCGTGAGGCGGTAGCAGAAGTTGATAATCGGCGTAGGGAGGGCAAGCGTGATGACGGCAATGAAGGACTCGAGGCCGATGAGGCAGATGGAGAGAAACAGGGCGATGTACTCGCGGATGTGGAGGCGCGACAGGAAGGGTATATGGAGCGCCATGCTGCCCAGGTGCCCTCGGGCGTGTGTAGACGGGCAGGGCACAGAAGCAATTAAAGCAGAGACAAAATGGCAGCGCGACAACGCATCGCCCCTCTGTACGCGCGGGCCTCTGAAAGTTCACAGCTCGCGCTCCAGCCCCTCTTGAGTTACGGTGAGGTCTTGCAGGATAGAGTCTGAATGACGTTCCAGACGGAAGCAGCCATCCCTGACATGTGACAACGCATCCTAGCCCCGGAGGTTAGCGCGACGTTTCGCCGACGGCTGTGAAATGTTAGCTCCACTGCATCACTCCACACATGCATTGTTGAATGCGCTGGTAGCCACACGCGACCTCCTGCCACCATGCCGCAGTCCTGCAAAGACATCCGTATGGCTTATTCAATATCTTGTGCGATGCCTCGGCTAACCGGAGTGGCTAGGCGCTGCGCTGGCATTCTGCCTCCAAAATAGCGACTGCATCATGGTCGACCGACACACGCCCGGCGAATGTCTGCGCCCGCCCCTCAAATACACCCTCCCCACCCAGTGCCAGCAGCTGCAAAAGGGCTACGCCGAGTGCAAAAAGGGCATGATTGACATGCGCAAGCGCTTCCGCGGCAACCGGCCCATTGCCGTGCCAGGCCAACTCGAGACGGGCGCATTTGGCCAGGGCCGTTCCGAGGCGGACGAGAAGGCGGGCACCATGGAGGAGAAGGGATACATGCTCTACGCGGGGCGGCCGTACAAAGACGTCAAGGAGACCAAGGGCGATGAGGATCCAGAGAACAAGGGCCTGGACCGGTAGCGATGGTCCGCGGCACACGACAGCATAGATTGGCGTTTGGGTATCACGAACGGGGACCCCATCTCCCCTCTGTATAGCAAGCCTGTACATTACGCATACTAGCGATATATCACGAACCTCTGGGTATGATGACACGAACAACTGCAACCCCTCCTTGACTAGCTCGCTCTCTAGATTGCAAACACATACGATTGATCGAAGCACTCGTCCCACCCGGCAACCCCGCCCTTCCAGTATCTCTTCAGCACCGAACATACTTTGAGTGGGCAACTCGTCCCCAGCGTCCTACTCAGATCCTCCAAGCCCGCTTCGATCCAGTTGCGCGTCCCTTCCCCGCGATGCATAGCTTCTACACCCGCGACGATGAGCGGCCAGACCATAAACTTAGCCATACGCGGGGCCTTGAGTGCAGTGCCGAGGTTGCTGAGCAGGACATCGCCGTAAGCTGTTTGACTCTCGAGCAGTGAAGGTGTCGTCGGGAGGACCATGAGTGAGCAAAGGGACAAGGTGGCGTAGAGCGCGACGGCGGATTTATACACCAGACCAACAGTCAGCCATTCGGTGCAAAATGTGCCAGCTCGCGCCCAGTCCTCGACTGAGAAGGCCTCGATGCGGCCGAGGACGTCATAAGCTTCGAGTGCATGCTCCGGGTTGAAACCACACAGCTGTATTGCTGCAGATGCTTTTGCGCGTAGCTGGTTCGTCCGCAATATCTCAGTGAAGAGCTCTCGCGGACAGAGCGTGTACGGGAAGATGAGACTGTACATGTCGGTTATGTCTTCTGTCATTTCCTCTGCAGTGTTGCTGATGTCGACTTGGTCCCATGACGGACTGCACGTGTTGGAAAGAGACACGATACTGATCGTATGAGTAGGTTTTCAACCTAAAGGGCAAATAGACATACAGTAGGTAGAGCACCATCGACGGGACCAGGTACGGGGCTTCCTTCATGAGCTGCTTGGGTCCACCTCTGAGGTCAACTATCCGCTTCATGGCATTCACATGTGAACGTCCATCCGCAAAGGTAGGGTTTTGGAGCTAGAGGTACGTATCAGTGCGTGACTTCAAGTTTCACATTCCAGACGCGCTCGCATACCTCTAAGCACATGAACATGAGAATTGTAGTGATAGTCATGTCCGAGCATCGTGTCTTGTCCTGGGCAATATGTCGACTTAATGCTCGCAAAGCTGCCCCCCGATGTTGGTATACTTTTGTCCGCGCTATCACCGCTGTATGGCCTGCGCCTAATGGTAAATTGTAGATGAAATGATTGAGTGACAGGCAGACTAGCGCATGATGGATGGACGGAGTAAGCAAATGCAAGACCTGCGGAGGGAAAAGCACGAGGGCGGGGTTGGGTGCCAGTTCTTGGGATGCCTTGTATTGTGGGTGTATCCGTACATTGTCTGGTAGCGTCAGCGATCGGCCACGCATGTCGCTTCAAAGCTAGCCTCATGTTTCAGGGCAATGGAGAGAGTCACTCACAGTATTGGACGGCTTGCATCACTTCTGATGTTTCATCCATGAGATCGTCATAGAGAGGTACGTCTTGCGTGCTCAGGAACGCGAGTAGTCGCTTCAGCCGTTGGAGTGGATCACGACCTGAGCGCAATACGCTTGCGGCGTCCTCGTGCAAGCCTCGCTGGACAATCTCTTCGATCTTGACCCTTCCCCCGATCTCGAATATCCTGGCGGCCTCTCTGGCCACGGCTATCATCTTGAAAGATAGTACATGGAGATCAGTCACCCCATACTGGGGGTTGACGATCCGGTCCTTTACCCATTCGGCCAAGGCGGCTTCGTAGTTTACGGGCTCGCAGGCATAGTCGACTCCAATTTCAGCCGCCGTATTGTTGCTGGATCTTTTCCTTGGAGTGCCGTCTTTCTTCCCCCTTCGTTTGGATGTCGCCATCCCCGGCTGAACCCACTGAAGCGGCTTTGCGTCATCGTAGCCCGAGCATTGCCGACCGCGTCTCTGACATTTGTTGCAGCGCGGAAGCGTCTTGTCGCATACTAGTCGTCGTTTAAGACACTCCCAGCATTGGCGTGTTGCTCTCTTTTCTCCTGTTTCGGCCATGGTCGCTTCTGAATGCGGATGGATAGAGCTCAACCGGAAGTTACCCGCGAAGAAGGCGGCAATGGCAGCAGCTTTGGTGGCCTCATAAAAGCGTGCATTTCTGCAGCTTTATTGCCATAGAGAGCTCGTCTGACTGTCATGGGTGGCTGGTGGTGATGAGTTCAGCTGGTTATCGTGTCCGTCTTGGCCAACATTACTTCCGCATTGGGTCTAGTCCAGCGAGGAAGCTTATGTGCATGTGGCGCTGGGGGCCTGAGACCCGAGTCTCTTCGTATTCGGAGGTGCCGATCCGAAATGTATTGTGCTGCATCGCAACAGAAAAGTGCAGATTGTGAGCGGCCGACAAAAGTTCCGTAGCATGTATACATATACATTTAACAGTCTGTCTAGCGTGGTGTGGCTGCTGATGAAGATTGCGCGACGCGCTCATGCCTGAACGGCAGTTGCGTCATTTGACAGGCGGAAGCCATCACGAAGCTCGAGTGGCAGGCACGCCTCACCAACGACCATCACGACGAGGCTCTGCCAAACATTGCCATTGCTAATCCTTTTTTTCGGCCTTTACATCAGTACAGTGTCATTTCGTATCGAGCGGCAATGTGTTAGTACCTAGATTTCTACATGGCGCGAAATGTGTTACGATATCGCGATCCGGGCTTGAAACGCAACATAATTAAAGTCTTTCTGCCTTGATTAACTCATATACCTATTCTTGTAGTTAGGCTCGTCCGATTGAGATCAAGAGAGCGGCATGTAAAGGCAGTGCTTGACGGTGTAATCGTACCGAAGTCTTGGCCATCAATAGTGCTGTGTCAGGACAAGCCTGTGGTAACCCTGTTGGTCATGACAGATACCCTACTCTTGCTCCCTGAAGTCAGCAATAGTCATTTAAAGATCGCATTGCAGGTCCTCAAGTTCCAATACTCGGACGTGCTTCTCACTCCTCATACCACCTTAATACCCCGTCAAACAAAATCTACCATGGCTCCCTCAGGCGGCGAGATCGTTCCCGGAAGTGTCTACCTATATCAGCCTGTTAAATGGGCCCCTCCTATGTTCGCCGTGTGGTTCGCAATCGGTACCCTTGCGCATGTTTGGCAATGCTTCAAGTACAAGGCCTGGAAAGTCACCGGTCTCCATCCCTTCTGCGGTCTACTGTTCACAGCTGGCTTTTTCGTACGTGCCTATGGGGCATTTAATTACGAAAACATCGGAGCATACGTCGCGAGCTCTATCCTCATATTGTGTGCACCGTAAGTAGCTCGCCCTTCTCTTTTGAGGTGGCTAACAAATCACCAGCCCCATCCTTGAGCTGGCCAACTACCATGTGCTTGGTCGAATACTCTACTACGTACCATACCACTCGCCTCTGCATCCCGGCCGTACCCTTACGACGTTTGGCGCAATATCCAGCATCGTTGAAGTTCTGAACGCGATCGGCGTCTCCTGGCTAGCGAACCCCAACATTCTCGAGATCTATGCCGACATCGGACATATCCTGATGAAGGTGTCACTGATCTTACAAATCGGTGTCATCCTCCTCTTCTGCATAATTGCCGGCGTCTTTCACAGGCGATGTATTAGGGGTGGCATTGCCAGGGCCTGGTTCTATTCTCCCATAGTACTCAGGACCCCTTTTCATTAGCTCCATTACCTGACTAGGCTGCCGCCTAGCAACCTAGGATTATATAATAGCAAAATCTCTGCTTATTATTTATTGTCAATCCTATATAATGTTAGAGCTAAGCTATAAAGTAAGAGAGGTGCATTTCTGCAGATTTAACAAAGCTAACTGTAAATAGGAAGGAACCTGTATCTACTGCAACGCCGCCACACCTAATGCAGTCTTAAATACCTACTGCCTAAACCGCACTACCGCCCCTGCCTCTGCCGCGCAGACCTTCTAGTGCACCCGCACTATCGCTAGATAGCAGCGGGTGCGATTACGTTACTTCGCCGCCGCTAACTTACCCTAGCTAGCACTAGCTATTCCTATTAGCGAGGCAAAATTATATTTATTTAGGCTTTTGGGTGAAGATTTGGACATACAAAGGGAGGCATAGGAATCTGGAGAGGTGAAGGAGATGCTAGAGAAGCACGGGCTGAACGTTTAGTCAGGCCCTGGCATCCGCAGTTGCCCAAGATCAAATCGGGGAAAGTACAGGGCCCTCTCATCACACTGTACATCAGTCAGGGCCTCATCCTCATTCGCACAATCTATCGCTGCGTCGAACACTTCGGCATCAGCCGCGTACCCACGAATCCGTCAAAAGACTGGGATCCAATGAGTCTCTCGCCAATCGTTCGATACGAATGGTTCTTCTGGGTTTTCGACGCGAGCTTCATGCTCGTAAACACCGTGCTGTGGAACTATCGCCATCCGCGTCGCTACCTACCGGAGGACTACCATATCTACTTGGCTCAGGATGGGCAGACCGAGCTGGAAGGTCCAGGTTGGAAGGATGACATGCCGTGGTTTATGACCTTTATAGATCCGTGCGGACTTACTGCGTCAATTACCGGTGGTGGTCGAAGGGCAGAGAGACCATTCTGGGAGGATAATGGCTATGAAACTTTCGAACTCTTTCAAAGAGACACTGGTGACGTAGGGGTTAAAGCCTGAGAGGGCGGTACGCTCTGGTGAAAAATACGAAGGGGTTTCGCTGTTTATAGATTCCTTGTTGATTGATCGGTTGCGAGTTAGACTTGTACAGATAGCGCTGAAAGCTCCAAATGCGGACCTTCTCATCTCGCACACCATCGGTAATGAGACCTTGGGAAGCTGCAAGTATGCGGCATCAAAGTGACGCTGCGTATCCCGAGTATAAGGGGACGGAGGGCTGTGGATCAAGGAGGGCGTCGATTGAAGGCTGCGGGCGTAGGTAACAGGGCGCAGCGTAGTGGGAGCTGTCACCGCTTTGAGAGGAAAGGCTGATGTCATAGACGCGTCGCTGGCCGCCCCTCAGCCCTTCCAACACACGACAGGCCCCACTACGCGGCCCGCCTGATCATCCACCTTCCTCCATCTGGCCATGTCTGCCTATGCTACCCTTCGCGTGCATCATGCCTGGAGTTCAGGAAACTATATCAATGCTGATTGCTGCTGCGATTGATGGTGGAGGGCCATTGCGCAATCTACCTCGGCTCCGCACACCATGACCGCGAATCTCGACACGCGTCGCATCCGGTCTTCCACGTCCGCTGAGCTTCGAGACTACTACACCCAAATACTGGACGATGCGCCAATCCAGGAGATCACGACACAGCTCCTCTCAGCTATTGAGAGAGGCTCGATATCGCCGCTCACCTTCGGGCCATGGCTCGGCGTAGCACAGTCGCCTCTCGCTACACGCGAAGCGCTCAATCAAGATAAATCCGTACTTGTCCGCAAGCTCGGCATCAAGTTTCTGCGTAAAGGACTTTGTTCTTCGCGATGGAGAGAGACGTGGGATGGCGTTGGAGGAACTGCTGGATTGCTTGACATCTTTGCAGACCTCTCAGTGATCGAGGTCAAGGCTGCTTGTAACGCAATGGGTCGTTCTGGTAGAGGCGCTGACCTGAAGGCGAAAAGAGAGCTTTTCACGAAATTCTTCAAAGCGCTGCACCCTGATCGCTTCCCCGATTCGCCGCATAAGACGAAAGATCAGCGTGCACTTGGAAGGTTCTATCGACTCATCATTCCTGCGTGTTCGAAGGAGCTGGTAGAAGAGGCCATCGCAAGCGGGTCGAAAGGAACATGGAAAGATGCGCGAACCAAGGATCTCGTCAAGTACTATCCGGAGTGTATGCAAGAAGAGCTTCTCCAAGCGGTGAGCGCGGAACAATTACCCAGCGACAACATCACGGTATTTACAGAGCTACTGCATCACCATCCGCCAGGTAAATCGACCACAAAGGGCTTCTCCAAGTCGATGGAGTTCTCTTTGAGACTCTTGGAAACCCTTGGTAATTCAGCGCACTCGGTAGTGGCGGACGAGACTTTCATCGACCAACTCGTCAATCCTCTCATTAAACGTGCAATCAAGAACCACGCAGGTTGGGATATGATACAACGGATAGTCGATCTCACAATGCGGTACTTGGAAGTCCATCCAAGCACAGGATGTCACATCACTGGCATCGAGGGCGACTTTCTCCAGCAGGTCGCCTATTGCTGGTCACAACAGCCAAGTTTGTTCGAAAAGCAACTGCGGAGGCTCTGTTCTCATCCGGTATTCGGTACAGCCAGCAAGACCAACATCGGAGACTGGGATGACGTCCTCGCAAGGATTCCAGCAAAGCGAAGCTACCCACTCTTGAGACTTTGCTACCAAGAGTCCACCTCGCTTGACCTTGACAGCGATGCGGATCTGAAGAAGACCAAGGGCTCAATCCATCCCAGCTTTTTCGCCAATCTGTCCCCTGCCGACGCTCTGCTACTGTTTACTCGTCTGCGAAAAGCGAGAGGAGATGTTGATCTAATCGACCTTGATCGAAATCGCTCTATTTTCGGCCAAACGCCAACCTATGAACTTCAAGGTCAAAGTGGTGACCCGGATATATTTCACTTCGGGCTACTAAGCCTGAACAACAAGGAAGAAGACGCCAAGATATTGGCCAATGGCTACGTTGATGTGCGCAAGAAGAAGGCTGCTACTGCA